GGGTTTCTGTGAAAAAAAACAAAACAAAACTATTCGATGGACACAAATTTGGAAAATGCTGCAAATTCTAACCACACCCACACTCCCCTCTCTACACCCAACTCCCCCCCACCGCCCCCATCACCCCCCTGAGAGGAATGATCCTGAGAAGGTTTTGGAGTAATCCTGTTTAACTTCCTTTAACCCATTCTTTCACAAACTCATTTGCCCACAGACTGTTATTTATTTATTTTTTAATTCATCTAAATCTATTTCACAAAGACACTTTCAGAAATACAACACTGGCCTTGCCTTCTCCCAGCTTCAGGCATATTAAACTTGTTTCTTGAATTTCTTGTGTTCCCTCTAAAATACCAGCCTCCTATTACTACTTATAGTTCACTTCTAGTTGCCTTCAAAATTCAACTCCAGTCACCTCCTCTGGTACACCTCTGTCACCCTACTCAGGCTAATTTAGATTCCCCTCCTCTGTGCCCCCATAGCAATCTATACATATCTTTATCAGAGCACTTAACAACTGACTATATTATTTGATTTGCTTGTTTGCCTTCCCACAATAGATAAATTTAAGCTCTCAAGGGCAGGAAAGATGTTTTTCTTTGACCTTGTATCTTTAATAACTGTGCCTGGCACATGGCAGTCTCTCAATAAATGGTTAGATGCTTTATATATGTAGGTTCCCATGTATAGGACTCTATATAGAAATAACACATTTCCAAAATATTTTATTCTAGGAACCACTTCTGGTTAATTTGCCATTTTTATAGATGTGTCTATCCTCAGTACAACTGGTCACTTCTAATTATTGTTACCAAATTAAATAATAGTTTGAGGTTTCTGTTTTGCATCCAAAAATTCTACTACATAGTGATCTGCATGTAACACTTCTAAAAGTAAGTATCTAAGAAGCTGCATCTGTTAACTTTTTCTCAGAGTGGTTCATTTCCTGTGTGAGTCTGTCTGTGGTAGGCAACTGTTTTATAGAAATCCTTTGTACCCTGGGTTGTCGACGTGTTTCTTCATGGTGGTTTTACATTGTCTGTGCCAATGGCGCCAGAGTTTCAAGAGTGCAGACTTAGTTTCTATGTTAAATTCTTGGCTTCTGGGGCAGGGGGTGGGGAGCCTGGGTGGCACAATGGGTTAAGCATCCGACCGTTGGTTTCAGCTCAGGTCATGATCTCAGGGTCATGAGGTCAAGGCCAGCATCAGGCTCCGCACTCAGCGTGGAGTCTGCCTGAGATTCTTTCTCCCTCCTTCTGTCCCTCCCCACCGTGCTCTCTCTCTCAAATAAATAAATAAACCTTTTTTTTTTTAAAGATTTTTATTTAATTTGACAGAGAGCGAGAGAGGGAACACAAGCAGGGGGAGTGGGAGAGGGAGAAGCAGGCCTCCTGCTGAGCAGGGAGCCCGATGCGGGGCTCGATCCCAGGACCCTGAGATCATGACCTGAGCCGAAGGCAGACACTTAATGACTGAGCCACCCAGGCGCCCCAAAATAAATAAATCTTAAAAAAAAAAAAAATTCTTGGCTTGGGATTTCCACACTATATGTGTAGTAAAAATTTCCCACAAAAGATTTTTCTGTCCCTGCTCAGACCCTTGAATAGGTGCCATCCTTGACATTTTTGGGGGCCATAGACAAAGTACCCTTTTCATGAACTGGCAGCCTTTTGAGAACCCCAGCTTTATATAGGTTATTACTTACAGTTCCTAGCCTAGTCAGGTCCAAAGCCATGCTTCCTACACCCAGGCATGGCACTAAAACCTGAGCCTCCAGACGCTAACATCTACTCTAGATGTCTTATACCAACCCTGGGCCACTCAAACCATTCTGGCCTTTGGATTCTCTTCATTTTTGTCACCTAGCAGTTCCCTTTCACTTTTCTGAACTCAACTACATTTTCCTACGTTTATAATGGGAAAGGAGTCCTTATAAATCCATCTACCATGTTGCTAGAACCTTTTCCTAAGTAAATTTTGAGTCCATTTACTTTTCTCCATCCCTTTTACTACTACCTCTGTGCAAGCCAATGTTCTCTCTCATGCACCCTTCTTTTGCAATAGTGTCCTTACTGCTCATCTCACATCTATTCCTGTCCATCCTTCCCCTGTCCAATTCATATGGAATACTGTACCCAGAGTTTAAAAGCCAGAATTCTAAAAAATGTAAACCAGATCATGTTATCTTTTTGCTTTTTGCATATTTTCTGTATGACCCAGCAATTCTACTCCTACATATATATCCAAAAGAAAGAAAAACATATGTCCACACAAAAACTCATACGTGAATGTTTATAGTAACATTATTCAAAATAGCCAAAAGGTGGAAAGAACCCAAATGTCCACCAACTTACAAGTGGCAAACAAAATGCAGTATATCCACACAATGGAATAGTGTTTGGCCATTAAAAAAATAAAGTGCTGATACATGCTACAACATAGATGAACCTTGAACACATTATTCTAAGTGAAAGAAGTCAGTCACAAAAGAACACATATTGATTCCATTTACATGAAATGCCCAAAATAGGCAACTCTACAGAAACAGAAGATAGATCAGTAGTTGCTGAGGTCTAGGGGATGGGAAGATGGGGTGGGAGTAGGGGGCACCATAACTAAAGGTATGGGATTTCTTTTTAAGATGATGAAAATGTCCTAAAATTGACTGTGGTAATCATTGCACATATCTGTGAATATACCAAAAAATGACTGAACTGTACACCTTAAATTATATGGTATATATAAATTATATCTTTATAAAGCTGTTCAAAAAAAATGCTTCAAGTAGCTCATCATGGTTCTTAACATATATAGCCAAAATCTTTGTTCTCAGCTGTAAGACTGCATGATATAGCTCCTATTTATTCCTCAAGCCTCACCTTAGACTGTTCTCTCCCTAACTCTCTACCCCAAAGCCACAACATCTTCTCTCAAATTCTCCAAAGGATCAAGCACCTTCCCACCTTAGTGGCTTTTCAACAGCCATATTTTCTGCCAGGAATGCTTATCCCCTTCTCCGAGCTATTATTTGTCCACAAGAGCATCATACTCTTAAGATAACCTTCTGTAGGAGAAGGGAAGTCTTCTGTAGGCAGATCTTCTGTCATAACAACTCACACTACTTCTTCATAGTATATATCACAATTATTTAGTGTTTGTTCTTCTTCACTACCACATACATTCCCCAAGGGCTGAGATTGTTTTCCTTGTTCACTGCTGTATTACCTGGGTTCATCATAGTACTTTGCAATGGCACATGTTCAAATATTTTGAAAAGAATGAATGCTAGTGACTGAGTCCAACAGCTCTTTATGTAATATCTTCTTATTTATTTATCTTGTGCCATTACCCTATTTAATTTGTCTAAGATTATTTATTATCTAATAAATATCTAATATCCCCGTTTATTATCTTGCGCCATCCTAAAAATTCACTTATCTTGATATACCACATTCACATAATTCAGTGATATTTTGATTTAATTCTTCTTATATTTGCTGCTTCTTGAGGAATTATGTCCTAGTGATAATACATGGCACACAGTATATAATCAATAAATATTTGTGGCTTAAGTAAAACTTCTAAAACAAAATTAAAATCTGTAGCAGGTGCTATCTTATTGTTCATAGGTTGTAAAAATTCCAGAAGACAGTAACTGTCTCTTTAGGTTTCTCTAAATAATGGTGCATGCAACTAAATATTTAATAATGCAGTTTGATAAAAAGCCTGATTTACCCATCCTTACAGGGATCATGATCTTAATGATGAATTTAACTCATTTTACTTGTCTCAGCCCAGAAGGAATTTTTAAAGGGAGTTTTTTTCAGCCAATATTCCGAAAATGTTACTTTTGCATTTAGTTCCTAGATGAAACTAATAATACCTAAATTCCATCTGAGCTATTAAATATATAAACATTACATAGTCAAGATTGATTTATTAAAATTTCCTTGGCTGGAAACCAGGAAAAGACGATGCTCTGCAACCTGTTAGCCCAGAAAACTGACTTTCTTCTATTTTTATATAAAGAAATGAAAAAAGAAAGGAAGAAAAAAACACTATTTTTCAACTCACTTAACATCTCCCTTCCACTTCTCAAAATTTTAATTTTAGAACTGTCTTTATAATAAACAAACATCTAAAAAGTTTAACTCATTGTATCTTGTAGATGATAAGACTTCTTGACTTATTACACATATATACACACTCACAAACATAAAATCTTCTTCCTTTGGATAGTCAAAAGAAAATGAAGCCAAACTGAAATCTAAATTTTGTTAAGATTTCACTTCCTTTTATAGTCTTAAAAAAGGGATAAGTATGGCTTCAGTTTTTAAGTAGATCTGAAACAGCCAAATGGAGTGCATTCTATTTTTTACACTTTTTCAAGTGGGAGAAAATGTCCCATTCTTCTTGGTCACATCTTCGAACATCTCCTAATAATGACAATCAAAAAGTTCTTCTTAGCTTCTACCTTAAATCTCTCCTGTGCCAATTCATGACTGCTCTCTCATAATTTTTCTCTAAAGAAACTGTACGGTTACTAGTCACTATCCTTCTACCATATCATCATATACTATTCAGTTCTTTTTCTGGTATTCCTAAATTAATTAAAATTATATCCTAGCTTTATTTCTCTGAGCCTTTCTCATGATACTGCTTTTCTTTCCTGCCAGAGAAATCTTCATGGACTCCTCAGAACAAAAGAAAAGATCCTTCTCTGTGCTTCAGGTTCTCCATCACAAAATGGGGAAATAATGCCTGACCCTGATTTCTTTTATAAGACAAATAGAAAAAAGATAAGTATCTATGTTAAATATTATCAGAAATAATTAAGATCTCTGTCAAAAATCTCCCAGAGGCAAAATAGAAAACCCAAACTGTAATATAAAGATCTACTTTCATAAATGTATCTGGGATTGGGGGAAAGACTTCACACCCACTCCTTTATCTCCTTCCTCAAAGCAGAACCCCGCAAATGAAATCAGTATAGAACATACCTCCTCCTGTCCCTGGCTTCCACAGAGGAGTCTGTTCCAGGAGTGGAGAGCAGAGTGGCAGTTGTAACCCCATTGGCAGTGTTAGGTGGAGGGCGATTAGTGATCACACAGAGCGGGGTGCTAGAAGAGACATTGTCTGCTGTTTTCTCTGCAGTTGAGTCAGCCTGGGATTTGTAAGGAGTCCTGAAATAAAAAACACAGACACACAAAAACACAAGCAGAAAGAGAATGGTTAGGCATGCTACATAACAAAGCACTAGCACACAGACAGAGGGTTTGAGATAAGTTTAACTAGAGAATCTTCTTGCTCCAATTTTGTTGGCTGGTTGACTGGTTTTTTAAATTCTGAGCTCTTAATTCATACAACAGTATGATTATATACATTTAGTTTGATATCCTCTGCCCAAAGAGTTATATTTCATGAAAAAAAATTTTTTTTGCTTGAGATTAAAAATTTTTTTAAAAATGAGCTATGGCACAAGGAAGATAGTGACATATGCAAGAGTGCTTTAAATGACTCCTGAGCACCATCTGGTCTCCACACACACACACAGAGGCAGGGCCTTTCCACACACATGAAAACAACACTAAAGTCACTTACGATATTATTCTCCACCTGCCCCTTAATTCTTGGCAGTGAGAGTCTTTGGTAGTCCTCAGCCTGGATTAGATGACCATCTTCTTGGATTCCAGAGATATTTGATAAATACAACCTCATATGTTTAGTTCTTTCCTACCTAGCTCAGCAACTGCTCTCTTTATATTTAACCAAATGCCTGATTGCCTGTATTCTTAAGTGCATACATGAGCAACAGAAACAAAAACTAATAAGATTCTATATGTAACCTTAACTGCAGACTTTCCAACAGCAAGCTGTATAATTAAACTCATTTACATGAAAACAAGATCTTTGTTTCTTAACAAAGAGTTGAGAGCAACCATTGGCTCTCCACCCAAAAAGCTATCATTTGTGATGTCACAGCTTGTTGCTGGGGTAACAGAGATCCAAAATTGATATTCAGAGAGATGGGAAAAGCAATGAAAATAATGAATGCTAAAAATCTGTTTGTTTTTTTTTACCTACTCACAATTACCAGAAATGCTTATAAGTAGCTATAAGCTCATTTTCAAATAATCACATCATTAGACTAAACTTGAAAGCAATAATCAGATTGTAAAAAATCTAAATATGGTACCTAGATGCAATTATAAAAATAGAACAGTTTTGAAGTGGTATCTAAAAAACACAAGCCACTTCTCCAGAAGCAATTAATGACTCAGAAAAAAGGTGAAATTAAATTCCTCAGACTTATAAAATGTATGAGTCTATAGGACACACGAATAAAATTAGCCAGAACCAAACTATAAAAAATTGGTGGCTGGGTGATAGACACTGGGGAGGGTATGTGCTATGGTGAGCACTGTGAATTGTGTAAGACTGCTGAATCACAGACCTGTACCTCTGAAACAAATAATACATTATATGTTAAAAAAAAAAAAAAGAAGAAGATAGCAGGAAGGGAA